GCCTAGACAAACATCTGGAGAGAGTTTTCGTTAACAATAAATCGGTACAGGGGCTAGGGGCTCCCCGAACCATAAAACCAATCTAATGTCGCTCCTGATTTTCCGGAACTTTTTTCCCACGTCCAACTTGCGAGCCAATCCGCAAAGCCAAAACGCAGATCCGTACGATCCAGATTCTCAATCTGGATCTTCAAAGCCGGATTCTCAGCCAGGATCTTCGATGTCGATCCTCGATCCTCAAAATATATGGATTATTAGCACGTCGCTCACGGCGACTCCCCCGTGCTTGAAGTGGTAAATAAAATATTTAAAAAAAAAGCTCCATTTTGTTCCGCCACAATCTTTCCCTTTATTCTAACTGAATATCTCCAGCCAGATCGTACACCCCAGTGAACAGAAACATGAGTGTGCACTATTGCATCATTTAGCCGAGCCTTGTCATCTATCAGTTGTTGTACCTCCAATTCTGTCATATACTTACACCACTCTCTACATTCTCTTCCTAAGTTAATAATGACTTGATGGAAACTGCTGTGGTGGGTAATTGTATCAACCCATTCCTGCCGACTCTTTATTTGCTTTACCGAGGCCGCCGTCTCAATGGTATCTTCAGCTAGCGCCATCTATGACTTCCGGTCTCCTTTTAAATCTTTCAAAATGCCATGTGGCGGTGTGATATTGCTGCTCTCTGACTCAATATTTCCCTCTGTTACGATGTAAGGCCTAGAAACGCAGGGAATAGTCAAAAGACGACGATAACGTTGCTAATGTTTTTTGTAATAGCAAATGAGTAATTCCGTCATTTTCATAGATTCTCACTGGCCGTTTACGACACGCTTACAACTGACTGCCAAGACAAGACTACAAAGCAACCTCTCTCTCTCTCTCTCTCTCTCTCTCTCTCTCTCTCTCTTTCTCTTTCTCTCTCTCTCTCTTTCTCTTTCTCTCTCTCTCTCTCTCTCTCTCTCTCTCTCTCTCTCTCTCTCTCTCTCTCTCTCTCTCTCTTACGGTCAAATACCAACTAAGAAATGTACCTTTGTTCTCACTTTCAAACCTGTGTCCCCGTGGGATAGCTATTCAGTAGTAACTGTTTATCCACATATGGGAGATTCTAAACACACATTTTCCCTGTTTTCCTCCTTCATCTGACCTTCTAACCTTACACTCGTCATACTGGAAATCGCCTGGGATTCCCCATTATTACAAGCGGATGCCTTTCGGCCTTGGTAACTAGCATATAGGCTTTGGCTTGAGCCAGTGACAGTCTGGACTTTATCGATGTCAGCCCAAGCATATACCTCATTGTTCTAATTGGCGTATCTCGTGTACAACCCAAGACGATTCTCTTTCTTGCGTTTTGAATCCTTTCAAGCTGTGTACACCGTGAAGTAGATAAGGTTAATATTCCTAAGCCATAAGCAATTACAGAAAGGACAAACGGTTGAACAATAAGACCAATAATCTCTATCCCATGTGTGTCGCCACCATCGTGTTCAGTGCCACCAGGCCATGGTTGCATTTGATTGCTTGCTGTCTGCTCCATGTGATGTTTGTAGAGCAGACTGCAATCAAACGTCAGACCAAAGTATTTCAGCTCATGTCTTTTTTCAACATGGATACCCTTCTTGTCGGCTCTGTGGCTAAGTCGATGCGAACGCTTCGTAATGCCGGGATGCCGGGTTCGATCCCAGCTGCGGGCCATGCGCCTTGCGTTGGTTTCGACAGTGGTATCAAGAAAGCTGACCGTCCAGGAAGCAATGGCAAACTACTGGACGTAAATTTGTCTGGAAAAACCACACAACAGCCAGAGGCTGTTGGGGTTGGTTCTGCAACGTCCTGTAAAGGATACGCATCTAACCTGTATACCCCTCTTGGATATGCTGGGCAAGTCTTCCTTTCCAATGTTGTTATTTAAGGAGCGCCATACAACACTAAGCGGCGTTCGTGTCTTAGGCGTTGCGAGTCTGACTCGTAATTCCAGCGTATCGAAACCCATTGCTGGCTGCGTGGATTTTTATCGTAGTATGGGGCGTCGCAGGTCGACCCAGCCTAAAATGGGTACTAGGATGTATGTTCTGGGGAAGCAAAGACGACCGGCGTAATTCTGAACCGAATGTCTAGGCCGAAAGGCTATTGTTCTGTCGTCCAGCTACTGAGATGAATGCCAACGTGCTTTGTACTATGAACTGTCCATTCTGAAAACGGCAGGTGGCAGGTTACCACATAACTAGTGGGGACGTATTTGATTAACAATGTATGTACAACTATTTACCTGTTGTAAGTGCTGCTTTCATTGATGACAAACTGCATTTCTCATGCTGGACTAGCTGTGTTGTCACCTCTGACGGCTGCCTTGTGCGTTTAATGCTATTGGCCTTTTGAGAATGCCGACTGTGATAGAGGCTATCTGTGATACTTGTTAGCACGGAAATGAAGTAACTATGTAGTGAGCCGTTTCCTATGCAGGTGAAACTGTGGTTACCTGACTGCCTGACATCATCATGTAGCAGGCCCTTTGCAGAACGTCGCTCTCATCGCGGTCTGCATGAAAGAAACTCGGTCTCTCGCCAGCTCTCCTGCCTCATGTACTTTCATACTCAAGGAGTCACTTATATCCTGTGCAAATCTTCTTGTTGATCGGCCCCTACACCTCCTTCCTGGTACCATGCCTTCTGCTATAAGTTTTCCCAATACGTCGTGGCGTTTGATATGATCAAAGTATGTCAGCTTCTGAGACAGGATGCTGTTAATTAGCCAATCTTTCCCTGTCTGTCTAGGCAGATAATAAACTGCGGGGAATAGTGTGCCCTGGACAGTTTCACATCGAAAAGGCAAAGGTGTAACACGGGGTGTGGTAGTGATTCGCTAGGACCAGCGCCACACTGGTTATCACTTATCTACACCTCTCTATAGTCATCCTAGATTCCATACCGTTTAGCGGAAAATGTAGATACGACCAACGCCGTCTCTAATAGTGCCTGACAACTAAATGACGTCACTTTTTGAAAGGAGTCCCTCAGAAACTGGTTACTGGAAGCCCTTTCCATGTGTTGCATCATGTAACATTTTAATGTGCTTACAAAGTTCTGTGTTCTGAATGTATTCGTATTACAAATCGACAAGCAGATATTGTGAAGTGGATATACACGATATTGCTTTCATATTGACTCTGCATAAATAGTGCAACTACACTGTGGATAAATAGTGTCAAGATATTTTGGAGCTCTGGGTAAGTGGATGAAAACAATATTTAATTTACTAACTAACCTCTCACAACAAGTCCCTCTTTGCCTCTTTACTAATTGTTGACTAACAGTATAATTATATGTTGTAGAAGTACGCTAATAATATTATTCCTCAACCATTTGTGTTCATTTTTGTAAATTGTCTTATGCTCCGCGAACACTGGCTGTAAATTATGGCAGACACTGTTTTGAACACTGAGATCCGGTATCTATATGGGGAATTTTTGTGTTTGATATGTGTATATTACACAGCATTTGCAGCTATATGGTCTTTTTTAATTTGCTTTAATTACCTTTAAAATAATATACCATTCGTGATTCGTATACGTGTTGTTGCATGCAGTATTCAGAAATATGTGTGATGTATTTTTAAACAGTTACCAAAAAATCCACATTGATAAGGAATTGATTTCATCCAGAAAGATGAAACTGGACAAATTAGTTTATGCTGTTTGTACCTTGAGGATAAATATTTAGAAGTGCTATAAGTACTGTTAAGAAAACTGCTCTGGGTGAAAAAAAAAATTTGCACATATGAATTTCATAATGACTGTGCTTGTTAAATAATTATTAAATAATAGTATAATTATATGTTGTAGTAATCTACTAATAGGAATAATAACCATCAATCATTTATATTTATGATATGTACGACAAGTGTATGTTTCACAGCAATATTGTTATGCGCTAAATTTGATAAAGTACAAATGTCCCCCTCCCCCCCCCCCCCCTCTCGCGCGGCTCCTCTGATGCAACAACGCCATCTCAGAATCAAAGAGTTTGCACTAATACGAATATTTCTTTACTTTTGCTGAAATAACTTTTAGATTATATCTATACGTTATTGATGTTTATGATCATGTTGACTGTAGCAAAAGCATTTGGGGGAGGGTGAGGGGGGGGGGGGTCTGTAATAGCCTATATTGTTATATTTGAATAGCACGCTTATTTACCTTTAAAATTACATATAGTTATTTAAAATGTGTCGCAAATTAATTAAACTGTAGTTTAATTTGTATATACTTCTCCTCGATAAAAACTGGTAATACAGAGGGACTCCATTCTTGCACAAGATTGGGAATCCCCGTTGACCTGTTTGGCCTATAAATAGAGAAGGCCGCGATACTTAAGTCGGAGCGGAAATATTTGACAGGCGAGTAAATATTTCTTTAAATAGGATATGCATGCAGCACTAATGTCTTGGAGCCAGATAAAAGGTAGACATGGATAAGCTGCTGTGGCTTTCCATCAGTTCACAGCTCGAGACGAAGAAGCGGTAGTAGTGGTGAAGGTATTACTAGTAATATTAGAAGTAGTAGTAATTGTAGTGATGGTGGTGGTTGTGGTAGTGATACTACTGGTAGTAGTAGTAGTAGCAGTAGTAGTAGTAGTAGTAGTATTAGTAGTAGTAGTAGTAGTAGTAGTAGTAGTAGTAGTAGTAGTAGTAGTAGTAGTAGTAGTAGTAGTAGTAGTAGTAGTAGTAGTAGGAGGAGGAGCAGCAGCAGTAGTAGTAGGAGCAGCAGTAGTAGTAGCTGCAGCAGTAGCAGCAGCAGCAGTAGTAGTAGCAACAGCAGTACTATTAATAATAATAGTAGTAGTACCAGTAGCAGCAGCAATAGTAATGGTGGCAGCAGCAGCTGCTGCTGCTGCTGCAGTAATAGTAGTAGTAGTAGTAGTAGCAGCAGCAGCAGCTGCAGTAGTAGTATTTTACTGGAATATTTTTTTAACTTGTAAATAGTTTTACAGTTTTCTTACCGTTTCACTGTTGTAGTCACGTCAACTGATCCGTTGTAGACAGTGAGGATTTTCACAAGTTCGTAGTTTGTTTTCAAAGGAAACTCCTGCCCTGTCAAGTTTATAAAGTATTTCCATTTCCTATACCTCCACAATTCTTCCATGCATATTAGCTCCGGTTCTAGCACCGTGAATGTTCCCCACGTCACGTCAACTCTTTTACTGGCAATGAACACATTAGGGAAACAATTGGCTATGGCAGAAATAGTTCTGAAAAATTCTAAAGGAGATTTGTAATCTACGTGGATACAGTAGACATTATGTGGTCGGTAGATTGCTCGTAAAAGTCGCTCTACCATCTCAGCGTCTTTATAGACTATCAATGAATACGCTATGGGAAACTGTTCTTCCTCCTTCGTCAACGATGACATAATGTAACCACGTTGTTGCTGGAAGTTAGCACAGTCGGTTGTTAAGTTTATGTAAAACGAGTTTGAAAGTGGAATGCTGACGTTCTGTGTCATACCTAATGCTGCTGTCGTTTGATTTTTGTCGCCTTTAAGTACTGCTGCGCAGTTAACTCCAGCAACTTGGACATTTCTTGCGATAGCCATTAAACGTTCGGCTTCTGGCATCTCTTCAATTTCCATCTTTCGTATGGCAGATGTTGCAGACAGGCCTGAAGGTAGGTAATGGATGGTGCTCAGCAGATTCTTCCACGATGCTAAGGAAATATTGAGCATTAGCATTCCTATGACCATCATAGAGCCAACGAATAACCAAAACAAACGAGCTGGAAAGGTTGCTGCCATACCTCTGTCTGCGGAAGTTGAAGAAACAATTTTGTCTTAAACAAAATCATATATTTATATCGTGTTTCGCCTAAAGTAAGACACACTATACTCGTTTTTTACTTTTAAATCTTCACACTTTTTTTTTTTTAATATAAGCCCTACCCCAAAAAAAAAGATCTTCTAAGATCGTCTATGGCTTAGGCATTGCGAACGCGATTCGTAATACCGGGGTGCCGGGTTCGATCCCAGCTGAGGACGACTTGTTTTGCGTTGTTTTTGACAGTGATACTGTGAGCTGACCCTCTAAAAAACAATGGCAAACTATTGAATGTAAAATGTGCCTAGAAAACCAAATCGACGACAAATTATGGGGTCGATTCTACAAAGTCGTATACTGGATACGCAACTAACTTAAGATCGTCACTTTGGTAGAGAGACTGGGGCCAATGGCTCTACAAGTAGTACACAATGCAGGCCTTAATTCGGAATTTGGAAAGTTACGACCATGTACCATAAGTAGACGATTTGACTGTAGTTGAATAAATGTAGGACTTTGTGCATGAATAAAAAGCAGTCTTTTGCATCTGGAAAAACAAAACATTGCCAGAGAATGAGTCCTAGTGCATTTTAAAAAAGTGCAACAACTTGGTGGAATACTGATACATGATAAGGCAGACGTGGTGAGTGCTTTGTGGGAGAGCGTGTACAGTTCGGAGGAGCAGATGGATCACCACAGTCTGGTGAGATTGATGCAGCGGGGATGGACGCGAGGTTCTGGTAGATGCTCGAGGCTCAGAGGAAAGGCATGACGGACGTTTAATCAGAATGCTACTGGCACCATTAGTATCGGAACTCTTCGCTATCTGCTGAAGATGGGGACGGAGCGCTTATGGGAATGCCCTGAGTGCTGTGATGTCGGTTCTTGAATCAAATCAAATCGAATTAAAAATTGCAAATAATTTTAAGCCCGGTGTTATTTTCAAAGAAACATATACATATATACACATACATATATTCTTGCCACCCCCACGCTACTAACAGTCCTGGACAACTATAGATAAGAGAAAAGACAAATTACTACAATGGAAATGAGACTTCTGAAAATGGCGCTTAATATAAGAATAAGAGATCAGATCTTGCAAGTTCCAGTGGACCAAAAGGCGAGGAAAAGACGCTGGCGTTGGATAGGACACACATTGAGAAAACAGGAGAACAGCAAAACTAAAATGTCTTTGCATTGGAAACCACAGGGGCATATGAATTAAGTAAGACCAAAAAACACATGGAGAAGATAGCTAGAGAATGAAGTTAGAAAGATAAGGAGGACATGGGGAGAGCTCCATGTAATAGCGAAGGATAGAACGACTTGCTAAGCTCCATTGGTGGATAGAAAGGCAGAAGAGAGAAGAAGAGATCAGATCAAATAGGATTAAATCCCAAAGAAAATGGATGTTGTATCTGCTCAGGATTTCATCAGAAGACAACATGTGAAATTGTTTGGCCATATAACGCAGATGTAAGCAAAAGGTACACCACAGCAAGCAATCATCTACAGACCAGACGGAAAGCGAAAAAGAGGCCGATCATGCAAACGACGGACAGAGGAAATAACAGAGTCTCTGCGAATTCCCATTTACGAAGTGCACAAACAGGCGCTTTTCCGTAAATTGTACTTCAGCTGGCTTCCGCAAGGTACCAGAGGATCAAGATGAGATGAGATGACATAAACACAATTATATCTGTCATTGAACTGGCAGTTTGTACCTCCATTGCACTCTGTCATGAGCAAACGTTTCCCATGTTATGAATGGAATTCAGCATGTGTTTTCCATGCCAGACCTTATTTTCTGATTCTCTGCTCTTTTCTTTTTTAGGATGTATCCAATATGGCTCCGTCTTTTTTTTTTTTTTTTACAATTGTAGATGACATTTCTATTGTGACTTCGTCTTTTCTGAATTTGCCGGACTCAAGCTTCTTTGGTTTCCTCATTCATTTGTTTTATAATGCATTTCTTCTACTTCTTCTTCGTCTTCTTCTTCTTCTTCTTCTTCTTTCTTCTTCTTCTTCCTCTTCTTCTTCTTCTTCTTCTTCTTCTTCTTCTTCTTCTTCTTCTTATTCTTCTTCTTCTTCTTCTTCTTCTTCTTCTTCTTCTTCTGTCTTCTTCTTCTTCTTCTTCGTCTTCTTCTTTCTTCTTCTTCTTCTTCTTTCTTCTTCTTCTCTTCTTCTTCTTTCTTCTTCCTTCTTCTTCTTCTTCTTCTTCTTCTTCTTCTTTCTTCATCTTTCTTCTTCTTCTTCTTCTTCTTCTTTCTTTTTCTTCTTCTTCTTCTTCTTCTTCTTCTTCTTCTTCTTCTTCTTCTTCTTCTTTCTTCTTCTTCTTCTTCTTCGTCTTCCCTCCAGTTCACAGTTGTAAACTACACTGCATACCTCTGGATGTTCTTCCACTTCTTGGCTTCCAGAATTTGAGCTTTGCGTTCACATCTGTTTTAGAGATCTGGTTTATCTGAAGATCACTGGTGGTTCCTAGCCTCTCAGAGGCATTCCTAATTAGTCAACTGTTACGACTTGCTTGTAAAATGGTGGGGGAGTAGGCATATTCTTTCCCCCCCCCCCCCAAAAAAAAAAAATTCGAACATCGGCCCGGTCCAATGCTTTTCCTGCACCTGCCGTGCCCCAGCCAGCCAAACAATCAGCACGTTCATATCCTCTTTCTCCAGAGTACCCTAGTTCACACATGAAACTGAAGCCTGTCAGATTTCATCTGAGACTCCAGGTATTGTCTTCGAACATACCAAGTCTTCATCTTCTTACGCACGCTAGTAGAATTATTTAGAAAGCCGGCAATGGAGTAATTCTGTCTCTAGCCACATGATTGCGTTTGTTTTCGCCATCACCTCTACAGTCATACCGTTTGCAGTCGAGGAAAACGCAAACTGCTGTATATTGTTGTCTGTTATATTAAACTCCGATGATCGTCCCTCGACATTCTTGACATTTAAGATTATGCCGTACCATTGTATTTATTCTAATCTGCATAAATTGTACTTCTTCTTCTTCTTCTTCACCTTCTTCTTCTTCTTCTTCTTCTTCTTCTTCTTCTTCTTCTTCTTCTTCTTCTTCTTCTTCTTCTTCTTCTTCTTCTTCTTCTTCTTCTTCTTCTTCTTCTTCTCTTTCACCTTGTACCTCATCTCGGGGGGAGGTGTAACGTTCGTTGATGAGCTCTGTCAGGAGCACTATTAAGACTGATGTTTATTTCTGTAATGCTGTTCTTAATGCCACCACACCATATTTTCCGAGGTCTTCCACTAGCTCTATACCCGTCGTAACGTTTTAGTGTGGCTCGCTGTGTCAGATAGTACCAGGGCATACTTGTTAGGTGTCCAAACCACTTCATTTGTTGTTCTTTGATGACCTGTAAGACTGGCTTCATTCCTAGCATTCGTCTGATACAAATTGTACACTAGAATAAATATAGAATATTGTACATTAAAAAAATGAATAAGGCACTAGAACAGAAAATAACTGCATGTGAAATGTGCTGTCTCCACAAGGTCGCTAACAGCACAAGAAGAGACAGGGTTACGAATACCAGCATTAGAGAGAAAGTCGGAATAAGACCATGTCTGGCTTATATTGACAGACAGAGAATGAAATGGTTTGGCCATCTGGTGAGAATGCAGCCACGCCCAACTGCATATGAGGCTTTTTACAGCAGAACATCTGGGAGGAAGGCGAGAGGAAGACCAAGAAAGAGATGGATAAATGGTGAAGATGAAACCTGCAAAATGTTGAACAGATTCGTCACTCAAGCCACCCGAGAAGCTCAAGACAAATACTGAAAACAACGAGACTGGGCTACAACCTGGTATCAGAGAAACGACAAAAGGATAAAGAAGTACGTGAAAAAGGACATCCCCCTAAAAGCAAGTCGTAAGGTGTCTTTTAGCAAAAAATAAAAAAACAATTTAAATGTTTCGTGGAGACACGGTAAGTATACTTACATAAGCTGTTACGATAGTTGGCTAACAAGCAGCAACCCAAACAGTAACTACAGCGAAAATCCGATAAGTTATTTTCCCTGCCGCTTATGTGAAAATGCAGCATTGAGCTCACACCTGTAGTAATGTAAATGGTAATTTGAATTGACAATGTCAGTTCTGTCGCTGACTACAAAGCTGTTACAGAACTTAGCATAATGATCATTGTCCTGTGGCTTGCCCACTGTCATGGGAGATCATGTCTATCCACGTGGTTAAAGTAAAAGACCCTTTTCCCAGCTTCAAACGTATTTGGGTATATAGGGCTAGATCTATATTTTATAGACCAAACGGCACTTGGTGGGTGATGTGGTCCCAGTACTGTACCTGGTACCCACCAAAGGCTGGGAGCCAAAGTCATTTTTTGAAAAAAGTTCGGCCTCCTTCAGGAACCGAACCCACTACCTTCGGATCCGCAGGCGAGCATGTAGCTGCTAGAGCACGGCGGCTTTCTTCTCCACATAGTGAAATCTTCAAAAAAAAATCTTACAGAGTGCTTACCCCTCCCCGTCGGCCCCGGATTCTGAGGGTTCAGTCCCTTCACAAAAATTATAGGACCTGTTCACGTTAACCGGTCCATCTACACTAGTCTGATCTAGGTCAGAAGGGTGTCGCGTTGTACTACTTTATTCTAAAAAATCCTCTTGTGTGACCTAGGTTAAGGCTGTGGGTGGGGGGGGGGGGGTGTATTGGTGCCAGTTCTACATGTTTTGGTGTCGTTGAAAACTGTGTTGTCGTGTAGTATAGAGCACGAGATATCGGCGCTGATGGAACTGGAGTAAAGACAACGTGACACCTCTCCGATGTAGAAGAGTCTGAGAAAGTATGAACGAAAAGTGTAGATGGGCCTGGAAACGCGAACAGGACCAAATCATAATTATCTCCTAGTATAAAGTGACTCAGCCTCTCTACCTCAACCACTCAAGTCTTTGTTTAAAATTTGATATAATAATTTGTCATTTAGCACATATAATATCATGCAT